TTTCCAGCTGTTTACGTTCATCCCTACATAAACTATCTCCAGCTGAAACCGATCTGAAATTCAACTGAGCACTCTGATTCCAGATGAGATAAAGCAAGTCAGCAGCTCTCAAACTGGTGAAAATCTTGATTTTCCACAAGTGTCTTTGTATAACGTAAGGCAGATTGCACAGGAATTTAAACCAGTGATGGTATAAGTAGCTCCAGCAAGTCTATGCTAGTTTACACCAGCTAAAGATCTCTACCTATATTTATGGAAAAAGTTCCTTTCTTATTGCTTAGAATTATTTCTACATGGAATGTTTACTTCTTTCCTGAAAGCTTTCCCTTCAGTATAAGGAACAACTACCCTCTGTTCATTTTATTTAATCTTGTTTTGAAATGAAAAGCTGACCAGTTTTCATACCAGCTACACGGCTGGATGTGCATTTAAAAAAAAAGACCCAACAAAACAACAACACAACGAACCTGTCAAGTGTTGCCACATCTTTCCCGCTTATTTTTATACATTTTTTTTCCTCCTGACTCCACTTGAAACTCTTCAGAGCATACTTCTATAGCCTCATCCAAAATTTACGCAGGTGGCAGTGCATTTATTCCACATTTAATCAGGGCCTTGGCTTCATCCATAATTAAAAAATATGAAGAATAAAAATCCTCTTCCCAATGAAAGTGATTTAGAATCTTTGAGGAGATTTATAAAGCACTTTGAGATGGTTTTGCATAAAAAGGTACCGCTCTATATTACATGTATTTAAAATGGTTTAACACTCTACTCCAAACAGAAGAGAATGTTTTGTATTCCCAATACCTATTTTGCACATATAAACTAAACACATTTTAGAATAAACAAAACTACTCAGTGTAAAGGGATTTGAAAGTCCTAGATACTATGGATACAGCGGCTCTTCAACCAAGCATGAGTACCCGACACCAGAAAACAATTTTTAGAGGACCTAAAAGAATGGTGCAGGCATGCAGATGTCATGATACACTACTCTTTGATGATAGGGGAAAAATATGAAGTAATTTCGAAAAATAATTACTATGTTTCAAACAAGTACCATGATAAAACTAAGCCATTGTTCCAGTAGAACAGAGATGAAAACACACAAAATAAATTTGTTCTGCTTTAAATGGCACGGAAGAGCAATCACTTAAAAAAAAAAAAAAGTGAGAAAGAAGCATTTCTTGAACGCAAGAATCACAAAGCTTAAATAATTCAGCAGAGCCATTCACATACATTCATGTATTATGGATGAATGCTCAGTTATATGTTATTCCTTACACACACAGCTTTATGCTAATACATTTAATGTCTTTTTTTCCCCCCCTTAAAGAATGTAACAGCTGAAATGGGAGCAGCCTGTACCCTGTTAGAATGATAGTTTTAATCTGACTTTTTTGGTCATGATACTTAAGCCACAGCAGCTACTACTTTGAATTTGTTTCTCTGCGGTCATAACACACAATTTAAAGAAGCAATTTTGGATGCTGTAGGCGAAGAGCTTGTCTGTGGAGGATGGAGTGAAATAGGGTGGTTAAATCTAGAAGCAGCTTCTCCATCTTCTGATCTCCTTTAACATTGGTGGTACATGATTTTTCTACAAAATACACATGGAACCATACACTTGAGTGCCAAGACATTCTGACTCAGAAGAAAACAATTCCGACCAGGCTATTTTTTATGGGAACATGAAATAGGTTTCACTACAGTAAATAAATATCCTGTGCTATATAAACTTTAACAGCTGAGAGCAAATGTGAGGCTAGCATCCAAACAAACACCACTCAATGCTGACTTAATCTCAGATTGTTTATGCCTAAACACAGGGCTTCATGGGGGAGATGCTGAAACCAGTCAAGCAGCCTCAGCTACTCAATACCACTATAACAATAAGGCAGCCCAGAAATTTCTGCTTCCAACCATTTCCCTAATCATTTAGCTGGAGTAGGGCTTCCTACTTGGCTCAGAATTAAGTTTGCAGGAGTTTAGAAAATGTACTATGTGATGACAATCCTATCATCACACTGTTTTCAGTATAGCTCAGTCCATCTTATCTGGGGACTCCCTTAAGGCAACTTCTGCCCTTACACTCCACAACTTGAACGTGGGAAACAATGGTTTTATACATTAGCATCTGGTAAGATGACCCTTCGACCCCAGAACTGCACTTCAGACTCCCTCAGAAGATACCCACTTTCAGGAGATGACCATGAAAGTTAGCCACAGACTTGTGTTCTTGCTTATCTGAACATTCCCCCGCCCCTCACCAAAGCATACACAAGACGACAAGTACTAGCTAGGGAGACCTTCGTGAAGGTTTGATGGTGCTCACCAACGTGAATCAAAATGGGCTTGAGCTGCCCCTAACTAAAGGTAAGTGTGGCCGACAGCAGAAGTAACTTAAAGTCTGGTAAGGGATTACAGAGGAGCTTGCACATCAGAGAAAAGTAATACTAGGGTTACAAGCAGAATAACCTGGACATGTGGAGCACCCAAGGAAGGATTCAGAACCGACACGCACAAAGTCAGCCGTAGAGTTAGTAGTCTACAATGCCATGCCCTGATAATTACTAGTGTAAAGCTTCAAAATCTAACGGCCATGGTGGATTTTGGATTTGTGCAGGTGCGAACAATATCCAGACCACTAACGTGACGTCGCGTGACATTCTTCTTACCAAGGACAGAGACTGCATACCCATGTAGGCTCGACACTAAAACCAGAGGTTAGCAATCCCTTGTTAAATTCTAAATGAGATTTTCTTTTTTTCCCCCATTAGTGTCATAGAAAGAGTAAAGTGGGAATGGGAGTTCAGGGAATACTTCGTCTGGAAATCTCATTATAAAACACCAACAACTTAAATCTGCCCTCGTGTTACTAACAAAACTGGACTTGAACCCGCGCTCCTCAGCCTGACACGATTTAATAGACTAGAATCATAGGATTGTTTAGTTTGGAAAGACCTTTAAGATCATCAAGTCCAACTGTTAATGTAGCACTTACAAGTCCCTAAACTGTGTCCCTAAGCACCATGCCTATACATCACTTAAACGCCCCCAGGGATGGTGACTCAATCACCTCCCTGAGCAGCCTCTTCCAATGCCTGACAACTCTTTCCGTGAAGCATTTTTTCCTAATGTCCAATCTGAACCTCCCCTGGTGCCACTTGAAGCCATTTCCTCTTGTCCTCTCACTTGTCACTTCTCTGAAGTGACCAACCCCCACCTCTCTGCACCCTCCTTTCAGGGGGCTGCAGAGAGCGATCAGGTCTCCCCTGAGCCTCCTCTTCTCCAGGCTGAACACACCCAGTTCCCTCAGCTGCTCCGCACAGGAACTGTGCTCCAGACCCTTCCCCAGCTCCGTTCCCTTCTCTGGACACACTCCAGCCCCTCAGTGTCTGTCTTGCAGCGAGGGGCCCAAAACTGACCCCAGGATTCGAGGTGCAGCCTCACCAGTGCTGAGCACAGGGTGACAATCACTGCCCTAGTCCTGCTGGCCACACTGTTCCTGATGCAGGCCAGGATGCGACTGGCCTTCTTAATTTAAAATACAGATTGCAGTTATATGGAGAAGTAGGACTCCTGAATGTTTTTATGAAATGCTGCTGGCCGAAGTTACCTATTTTCCTTCCTTTGAGGAGTCAGAAAAGGAAAGATAATGATTTTGTCTACTCGATAGTCAATTACTACCTGTGAATTTGTCACATTCCATCCAAGAATGTTACAGTAAAAATTTTAAGGAGGCCATTTCCCTCTGTGTATAAAAACCCTGACAGGAATGGAAGTTCACATGGGTCTTAATACCTTACTCCCACAGGCAGAATGCAAATAACGTCAGCTAATGCAACTTGAGACTTGCAGGTTCACACTTCGCATTCATGTAAAGCAGGCTCCACTTGACAACAATGACCTTGAAGATGGTCATCATAAGTAAGTATTACAGTATCTAACCTTCGGCAAAAAGTAAGATTTCAGTTCAAAATCTTCCTTTGTTCCAATAACCATAATAGCAAAACCAGATGTTCCCAGAAGGTTACTAGAATCTGTTGCTTTTCTCAAACCACATACTGCATTTTAGTAATGAACTGCTGCACTCTGAAGTAACAGTGACAGGACACTGAAGAAAAGTGACTACTCTTTTAAACACAACTGGAACTTACTTGTCCATCGCATGCCACTTACGTTACTGCTGTTTCTTAATGCGTAAAAATATCAAGATCATTAAGTGTCAGCTATTAAAACAAATCACCGAACAGTATATGTTAATTTAGAACTGTGTTTAATTTCAAATAGAAAACATGCTTTTTAAATAAATTATTCACTAATAGGAAGCCAGTATCATGAAATCAAAGCAAAAATCAAATATTGTACATTTTTAATACTGTACATATATTATATATTGTTTTTCTCATATTTTAAGTATTCATTTCTAGATTGAAAATCATTAGATTGTTTCCTTGATAAACTGAAACTTTAAAAGCCAATATACCTGTGAAAGCAATTTGCATTACTTTAATTAAGAAGAGACACGTGAATACAACATATGTACAGACCTGTGGAATTCAATCCGTAAGCTACATACATTAAACCAAACTGTCCCTGCATATTTAACTACAGATCTATTTTGGCAACGTGGAGGTATATCTTTTTATCCTGTCCCAAGTCCTAACATGTAAGTAGGAAGTGTCAATATTCGCATTCTTGCTGAAAGTAGCCAACGTTAACCGAAGAGCAACTGGATTTTCAAAAGAAAACGTTGCATCACAACGAACAAGTAGTACAGTAGAGTAAGCATTTTAATAGCATTCACATTTCTTTTTAAAGTCTCTGAAATGGACCTGTACATCACTTTTGACAGAACATAAATATAAGTAAAAGACCCCTAAAAAGACCAGAATTTTTCCCAAACATAAAGTGCCAAGATGTGTACGGTAGTAAGAAGGGTTTTTTTGTTTGCTTGTTTTTTCTTGATTGAGCGAAGAAAGGTTAACGCAAAGGTTAACCACAAATTCAATTGAAATCTTTTAAAAATACCATGTGTTCTTGAGCTTCAGCATCCAGATGTTTTAGAAGATTCAGGTTGCTCTTCTAAATTCATTTGCAGTTCATTTTGACATTCTGATGTCTCACCTTTGACAGCTAAATGGATAACTTTCAGCCATTTCTGTTTTAGTTCCTCATTGTCCGCAGCAAAGCTGTGCACAGACTTAGACTGGGTCAGTTTGAAGCTGTGTGGGAGGTCAGCACTTCTCGGAGTGTCATCTACGGTATAGCCCAGAAGTGGGATTGTAGCCAGAGCTTTGACATCCTAAGAAGAAGAAGTTCTTGATTAAGAACCATCTGTTATCTCTTGTTTACTATAAAGAGGTAAAAGCACTTGGGTCCTTCCTCCGTTCCCTCGCTATTAGGCTTCTCTTCCTCAGACATCAGTGACCATAATTACTGAGATCTTTCCCGTTTTCCCTGTACGTACCTGTGGAGCACCGTACATGTACAGCACAAGAGCTTCCTGTTTAGGTATAACACACCATGCTTTCTGCCAGGGCTTGGATTTTTCCATGTACTGAAGAAAGCTACATATGACACTATTCCCAGAGACTTCTGCAGATTCAATCTAGGAAACAGCATAAAGCGTAAAAAGGAAAATGAACTTTCTTAAGTGAAGACGAAAACCACACAACAGAAAAGCTGAAATACATCACCATTCACATCAAATCTTAGCTAACATATTGCAGAACAGCTTGAGTAAATACTCCAGAAAATTAACTCTGTCCTGACTAAAGGCAGCCCAGATAAGGACTGGCTTTACGGAGAATATTTATATGATGCATACATACGAGCATGGTGTGTACTCCCTCATCACGTGTGTAATCTGTTCCTTCCGTCATCAGTAATTTTTGATTACACACTTCTAGATCACTCAATCTCAGTTTTTCACCACAGCTAGCCTTTCTCTGTAGCTCTCACAATGTCTTCTTTCTAAGATAACATCATGTTAGGCATGCCAGTGCTACTAACTATCCAATATGACAACTACTCTATTTTGGCAGTCACAATATTATTACATGTTCAGATGCAAACACACTTCTAAGAATAACATAAAAATGCAAGCACTAATCCTACAGAAAAGATAAGGTGAATCGTTTAAAATCTGCAGATGGAGTGACAGGATACTTGGGTTAAACATGATCCTGAGAAGAACACAAAACAATTATGTGTTAATATTTCCTTGCACCCGTTTTTTGACTTCGCCAGTGGCGATGCTGTCTGGGTGCTGCAGCACGGTACCAACAGCTCCGTTGTCACGATATTCAGCATGCAGATGGACGGTTCTGAGAGACTACATAGCTCTCTCAGCTACCTTAAAAAAGCCATCATGCCAAGAAACAGCAGTCTTGACTTTAAGGTAAGCTAGCGGAGTCCTGTCCTCCTTACTCTCTCTCATTTAAGAGAGCATAGTCAAGTGTGGTCAAGCCGACATACACGAAGTGTATGTGGTATTACAATCTGTACCTTTTTTTTCCCACCTTTTTTTTTTTTTTTGGTAGCTCAAGGGCCAATCCTTCTCTACCACATCCCAAAATAAATGTATGCCTTGACGAAGTTACGATGATACTTCTCTAATTTATGTCAAGGCCCTATAAAGGGGGATATAAGAAGCGTGAAGGTTAATTGCAGTTGTAAGCTGCCTATTTCTCCCCCTGCCCGTAAGAGAAACATAGGTCTTTACTGTTTGATGGAGACCTTGAATTTTTAGATGTCAAAGGTGAGAGCAGCTTTATGACTTAAAAGGTACAGTGTATGCACTGATCAAACCAGTAACTAACCACTCTGATTCTGAAGAGCAGAACTCTCCCCCAACCACCCTTCTTCCATCCCAAGTTCTTTTTTGGTTAGGGTATATGTCTTCAAGAATCAGTGTAGTAGCAGCGGCTTTTCTTGCTATGACTGCTGAAGCATAAAAGAAAACTGAAGGTTTATAAGGAAAGGTAACGCTTTATTACATTAGATGATGTAACTGGAAAGCAGCAAACAAGCTAAGGTTCATAACGCCACCATTACAAAAATTGTAAGAAATAAAGTAGTATTGTAAAAGACAAATGGTGAAAACCAAGATCTACCGGATGGGATGAATTTGGTCCCCCATAGCCTTTGTGTCTCAGACAGAAAACAGCCCTGCAAGAACGCTGCCACTGTCACCTACTGATGAGCCAAAACTGTTTGCAACGACGCACACACAGTATTTTTAGATGGCATACCTCTAAGATGCCTTTCCTCTTCTTTTCTTCACTGTCTGTACAACCAATTATAACGTGATAGCAGTCCTTACAAACTTTGTTCAATTTATTGCCATCATATTCGAGATGTGCCTTATAATCAGAACATTTCCAGCAAACCACCTTAGCAACAAAAAAGATAAGCAAATGTAGAAAATTGAAGTATTGATAAAACTTTAGGGAAATAGAATTTAATTTACAATCAGTATTATTATATCTAATTAGTAATGTTTTGTTATAATTATACAGAACAAGAAAGATAATTGCTTTATGATGCTATTATGTCAACCGTATCTTAATTGAAAATAATGATTTTTCCAAATTTGTGCCACTGCTTCTTCACTAGAAGCACTTTTTCCGATTTACCTGGTGGGAACTTTGTTCTGTCTATAAAGTTACATAAGGCTTTCAATTATATCTGTAGGTTAAAGTTAGGAACAGAATCAGAATAGCACAAACCATGCTGCAGGGAGAAAATTCTCCACTTTCTTTAGATGCCAAACTGAAAAGGTACACTAACCATATTGTTTCCTATATAAACTCAGAAATTTAGAACTGAGATTCACTTTTAATAATTGAAAAATTAATAAAATCAGAAATGGTTAGTTTTTAACCTAAGAATTTAAATGCATCAAAATATTAATATTAAATTGACACTTCCAGAACCTGTTCATGAGTACACCAAATACATAAGCCAACGCCACAGTCTTTAGTCTTTTCACAAAAGATAGAGAAAACTGAAATGCAAAGAGATCCAAGAGACCTTGTTTCACTAGAAATATTTTTCCACAGGAATGTTGTTTCGGGGAAAGAGATGCCCGGCATAAGAAGTATGAGCGCAGCCACTTCAAGGAAGAAAGGTAGACAATCCGCTCCACCACCTGAACCAAGTTTCATTGTAGACCAGGGCTCTGCAGTACTCACCTACATCACTACCTTCACCTACTATCTCTAGAGGATACTGGTTAGGTGTTCCCAGTTAGTCTCTGCTGGGAAGATGCTATCACTGACCCAAATTAATACCCATGAAAAATGTTTTAAAATGAAAGTGGAAGGAGATGCGACAGAACTCCCATGCAGGGAACCAAACAAACGGGAGGGGGGAAAAAAGGGAGGGCGTGATCTTAAGATTAACGGAGGATTTTTAAAATAGAATGACCTGGGAAAAAACCCCAGATGACAACTTTATAACCAATAACGCAGAGCTCCTGAAAAAGTCTCTAGTCTCCTGCAAAGCACAGAAGCAGCGCTGTGAATGCCATACTCCTTCATTGAAACGTTACACAGAAATCATACCAAATAATCTGTAAACCAAAAATTAAACCCGGGCTTGCACTACCACCTGCTGGAGAAAGGCGGAGCTGCAGGATGGCAAAGAAAGAGCGAAACTCTTCTTTCATTATTTCTGAAAACTCTCAAGTCCTACCACTGTCTCGGTCACATTGAAGTGGCACACGTTACCATTGCCTCATAGGTAGAAAGCAGCGGTGATGCTCCCTCCCCTTCCCTGGTGCTTCACACATCTTTACACAGCTACACACTGAACCCGGCTGGGAACCGCCCCAAGGTTCCCAACGAACCAGTTTTAACGGCAGGTCTTCAGGGTCTGCTTGCCAGAGACGGTAGCAGAATGGGAAGAGGAGGCAGCCAGTGCTGCCAGGGATAACGCCGGTTCATGCCAGTTTAACATAGCCTCGAAACTCGAGAGCAGTGGAGGCCACTCAGGAGTAACAAAATAGTATGTCCAGGGGCTTGGGACATTTTACAACAAGCATGCTCCAAACTGCTTCCAAGTTTACCATGCCAAGCCAAGCTGACAGAGGACCCCTTGTAGTACACTGTGCACAGCTTCTCCTTTCAGCCACAAGCACAGCAACAGCGTAACGAGCAGCCACCCGAAGTCAACTGGGTGCTTAGACCCGTTTCCCGAGCCGGCCCCCCAGTTACAGCAGCCAGGGTTTGGGACTTACGTGTCCACATGCTCGGCAGTGGTGCCTTCTCCTTGTCAGCGCGTTAAAGGGCTCCTTGCATTTCATGCACATGGTGACTTCGTTGTCTCGTATCCACCTCGGTGCTCTCTTCCCAAGCTCAGCGTTCTGAAGGGGGACAGCGGGAGGATGGGAGAATAAAAAAAAGCCAGGATGAAAAGTTGTGCAGTACTTTAAATAGAGAAAATAATTATCCTCTTCCTCTAGAAAGGAAATGGCAAAACACAGCTCAAGATGCACTTTGAAATCTATACAAGAAGTAACAAAGAAACCAGTCAAAAATCATCATGCCTCACTGAAAGGGCACTGTTATGCATTCCAATAAAAAAGAGGCTTGTTTATAACATTTGGCATTATGAAGAAAAACAATTACCAACAAGATGATTACTTTGTAATTCCTCTGCTATAAGAATAAGCTTGAAAACAAAGTTTCTGCCAAACTTCTCCCAGTTATTGAAGAAAAAATGGGTACTCAGGAGGTTACAAAGGAGTAACAACAACTTACAGAAACCTCAACAGGCATGTCCTCATATTCTTTAGCAATAGCGTTTCTGAAAGTTTCGTTCCTCTGCTGAAAAGCTTCTATAGTATTCTGAAGGGCCTAAGGAAACAATGGAGAAATTCCTGAAACACATTACATTTCAAACAGACTCTCTGCATTCTGACCAGTTATTGGAGTAGCAGAGGGAAGCTACAGCCAGAAAATACATTACATTTTTGATTGCTTCAGTGTAAAAAAAGTGTTAGAAAATAAAGAATTTAAATGGATTTACCTTTATCCATTCTTCCTTATCTTGTTCAGAACTAAAAGAAATATTTGACACATTAGTTCAAAACCAGGTCAGGAAAGATGATCTCATTATCAGCAACTTCTTGCAGAAGCCAAGCTTCTGAAGTAATTCTCAGGAATTTACATTTAAACAAAGGAATTTACATTTAAATAATACTAATTGTTTACTGTTCAAACTCCAAAAAAACCCATAAAACCCCTCAAAACAACAACAACAAAACCCAGACCACACAGAGAACAAAAGCATCAAAACCCCAAAACAACAACAAAACCCAAACCACACAGAGAACAAAAGCATAACTTCAGGCTTCACAAATCTGCAAGCACTAAACAGTGAATTCCGGTAGAAAGATCAATGTAAGCGCATTTGAAGTAGTATTGGCATTGTCAGACTTTTCGGGGGCTTTTGTGTTAGAGAAGAGGATAGAGAGGAAAAGAGGACAACGCAAAGCTGAGGTGTAGGTGAGTTTTCCCCTCATTTCATGTGCTACTAAGCTCACATACTAACACATTTCTCCTGTGTATTTCTTAAATCTTCCTCCCTCCCCAACAAAAGTAATTTCCTTAATGCTTTTTTGTTGTTGCTGTTGTTTAAGCCTGTCTACAGCGGCAAGAAGAGTATCCAATTAAACAAAAGGAAAAACATGGTTTAATATTACAAACCAAAGAGCAGAAATTTCCTTTTTATGCATTAGAGCAGATGCCAATGACTTAACAGTAAGTACAGGTGAGATATACAGACAGGACACACGAGAGAGGCAGCGTAATTCACTCTCAACTTGTACGACAGCCTCATCTTTAAAACGTACCAGCAGGAGTTTGCCATTCAGATCTTTGGAATAGCATCTTATATCACAAGTAAGAGGACTATTGGAAACTCCTGGCTAGTGCTAGTAATGAGAACAGTTTATCTGCAAACTTCAAGTCAGAAAGATGAGAATTAACACCACGGTATGTCTGGCTCTTCACAAGTGGCCTCCTCCTTGGACGATGACGTGGGGAAAAAAAACCCAACAACCCAGTGCTGTAGCCAAGCAAAGTTTTCTATCTTCTGTGGTTTGCTCCAAAGGATGTGCAAGACAGCTTTTACAGTATCTCAATAAAAACAGCTCCTCACGTGTTGTTTTGTACTGTTAGCGCAATTTGTAAGCAAGCCGAACCCTAAAGAAGTGTTTCCCCTTCCCATCTACCATAAGTATACAAGGGAGAAGAAAACTGTTTAAACAGCCAAAATAATTCTCCCTACCTGCTTACATTTAAAAACGAAAGCTGAGCTACTAAACATCGTACCAGATCAGCAACCTCTCAAAGAAATAATCTACCAGCTGTTTACACTCAGTGACTGAAAATGTACTCAAATAGCATTCCAAAAAATAGAAGCCTACTAGTAAAGAAAACCCAAGGGTAAACTAAATATTACACCACTGTCAATGTGGGGTACTTGTGAATTAAGGACATCAGGGTATAGGGTATGGTACAGTACTCATACATTAATCAAGATTATTCTAATATAAAGATGATCCCGTTTGGTACTTATTCAGTCACAATTTTGTACAGACTTAGTAGATTCTCAAAATATTCAAAAACCGAAACAAAACATGAAAACGTGTTCTTAGACCTAAAAGAAACTAATGAAATTCCATGAAAACTTGCATTCTCCTTACACCTAAAATAAACTGATCTAAGAAACTTTCAATTACTAGCAACACAGGAAAAAACACTAGGTTGTATCATTTTGTTTCCACTTAAAATGTACTTCACAAGCAATACAGCAAACGCTGTCTTTCACCACTGACAGGGGCATATGGCATAACCTGCCAAGCGCTCAGCAAGTCATCGTGCAGCAATTTGTAGTGGATGTGACCGATGGCCAAAAACGTGCCCCAGAAGCCTTGCAGACCTTAGCGGGCAGCTTTTTCCTGTCAATTTTCAAAGTATATATTTTATTTCAAATACAGTGATAGAGTAGGGAAATTTCTATACACTGTCACCTTTCTATATTCACTCCTCTAACTCTCATTAAATATTACAAGGTGGGGATTTTTTCCATAAAGGAAAGTATCTGCAAGCTCATGTGCCGCAAGCTATGGTTGGTCCTCAAATACGTGGTGTCAGCACAGAACCGTATCCACTATGGACACCCTCCTGCTTATGTAATCCTCACCTCTCTGCAGTGAGATCCTGACCACTAAGATCTTTCAGTCAGTCCAAAAGGAGAGCGGGAGTGCTCTACTCCATTTGAAATGGGGCAGTCTAGACAGGGAAGGTTTAGTGTAGGCAATGCAAAAAGCAGCAAGAGGAAGGTAACCCAGCAGGAGGGTTACCTACAAGGTAACAACCTACAAGGACTAACAAGGAAAGCAGAAAAGTACCAGTCGGAAGAGTGTGACTGGAGGAAAAGGACCCAAGAACTAAAAGGAGAACTTGCTTTCCTGCAGTCCCAGTGATCAATCTTGCCCTGGAAGGCAAGACAACTGGAAACAGGCCTAAGGAATGGAGGAAAGCTGGTGCCCATCTACCACTGCAGAAAACAATGTTCTGTGAACATAAACCCACTGGGATGGAGGGTGTTGCTGGGCGGACATGCCCCGAGCTGAACAGACCTAGTTACCCCAAGGTGGCTCAGGTACCAGGGGCAGCAGCTCTTAGCACACTCGGTGTCCCCAAACACGTCGCACAGATTGTCTTGGCACCAGCCAGAAACGCTGCTTACAATTTTCCAGCCAGCCCGTTCACAGATATCTTAGGTACTATATATTGTAGATGCATCTTCTATTCCAAGAGATTCTGGTTCTGATAACGTGTATTTTTGGCAGCCTAGGCTATTTTCAAAACACTAAGATGAAGCCCACTGCATCTTACTCCAAATCTATCAGACTGCTCTGTTGTGTGTATATTTAATCCTCCAAAAATCAGACTAAAACCTTGCTTACCTGGCCTGCAACTCCAGTGTTCGCTCTTTTCCAGACACTTGAAAAGTGTGTGGATATTCTTCATTATGAGTTGCTATAATCTTCATACCATCTATGCCAACTCTGGTTCGCACTGAGAACTTTGATCCTACCAAGCTGAATTTGGGGACGCAGTAGAGCAACATGTTGTTAAACTGGGGAGAAAACAGACACATGGCTCTGCATTAACAAAACCACAGTTGCAGAGATCTGAGACTATCGCAAAGCTGGACTCAGTGGGTGAGAAAGCAGGTTCCTCCCTGCTCAGCTGATACATGACAAGACCAAAGCTCTTAGGCAAGACAACTCCTTTTTCTTATTTCTTTCAAAATGAGATTGAATGCCCCCTTCAGTCGATATAAGAGTGTATCTGTATATGCAGCAGCCTTCACAGCATTTATTACCAACTATACTCAGACTGGATATTTTATACCACTGTAAACCTTCTGTTAAGAAAAACCCCATTCTTAGGCCCGAATTCTGCAAAAAATACTCTAAATGACAGAGTAATAACTTTTCCTCAGTGCATACATTTATATTTACACTGTACCAAACCCACTTGATTTCACCGATGTTATAACTAATATAATTTGAGGACATTATTTGCCTTTTCTGCAAGATAAAAGAACATTGCTGTCTTACAGTTTTTATGCACTGGAACCCTCAATATCACAGGGGGGGAAGAAAAAAAAACACATGATGAGGAAGGTCAATACATGATTCCTTTATTAAAGATTAGAACTTTGAAGTTTAAATGTCTAAAGCCCCAGCCTACAAGCACAGTTACTAGATCTATAGTGTTTAATTTTCACATATTTTTTCCCCTCACATTTTCTCACAATTAATTACTAAAGACAGAAACTTGCTTCAGTTTCATCACACTTCACAGAAGTCCTGCCTAGCCTTTTGACTTCTCTGTATCATGGATTCAGCCCATTTGAACTTGTCAACTCTCAGATGAGGTACACATCGTTTTAATCAGCTGTCTAGCCCCATTCCATGTCTTACTGTTAAATGGTTTCTCCTTTTGTCTGAACCACAGGTAAGCAGGAGTTCTGCCTCAACAACCCACTATGAGTCTTTATTAACCAGAAGAGAGGCAACGCCAGAGGCCCATATGCAAAAGAGTATTAGCAATTCTTAATGCATGGGAAGCAATGAACTATGTCAAATCTTTTCCAAGGGAGCACGGCTGCAGTTTGTTGTTTCCAAGACAGGACACAGGCACCTGACAGGACAGGATGACCTGCCATGATAACAAGCTCCCACAGGGCCCATGAGACTTACTGGGACCTCAGCACACACAATCGGCCAGGCCTGAAATCCTACGCTTTTACATTTCAGTTTCATGAGAATGCCAAAGTTCTCATGCTCTAGGACCTGCATTTATAAACAGCAGCCACTTCTTTAAATAAATGGAACCAGTGTCCAGCACCTCGCCTCTAAAACCATGTTTTCTGTTCTAAATGGTGTTTTCTCATGCTCTAACATGCCTAGTTGGAAAGCACTGACATCAGCTGGAAGAGGATTTCCTTCACTTTGGTAGTTCAAGTCTAGGAAGGTGTACAGCCACTCCTGCACACACAGGCCCCCATACTTACTAGGAAAAGATACCGTTCTTGAGCAGACGTATTACGAGCAGCCAGTTTAAGGATCTGTCCTTCTTTTATCAGTTCATTTGAAGGGTTCACAATGTCTTCCTCTTCTCCCAGCATTTCGTATATCTCTAACAATTTCTTTAGGTTCTCCTTTACAGTGAAAATAGTTATAAAACTTATTAATCAAAAGCATAGATCTTTAAACATGCTTAAATGAAATGACAGGAGCTTGTATAGGTCTGGAGAATGTTGAAAAACATGTATATAATTTGGCATGTATGGTCAGCCACACTGGCTGATTAACCTCGTTGATACAGTAACAAGTACTTTTAGAAATGTTACCTCTATGGTAATTTAAAAAATGCAGTTGTACATAACCCGTGTTATTTTTTGTCCACAATACCTCACATATGTAATGAAGTGCCTATCGTGCCAGCATATGGTAGAGAAACAGTAGCTACTCCCTACAGCCATTATCCTTCCACGGACAGAAACAGATGAAACAAGGTTAAGAGTCCAACGGAGGGTCAGCTATTTGAGCCAGGAGAGGAACCCAGCCTGTCCCATTCCCGACTTGAGAGAATTAGGTCCAATGCCAAATTTTGTATATCATTCCTAGGAGCTGTATAAATACATTAAGTAGGAGCAACCACTTGGACCCAGGAAAATAATTTTTGCCATTTTAGGGAAGATATGCAATTCACCCTCCTAGCTTCACTAAATATTCAAGAACAATATATTAAAAAAATTAACAAGGAAACAAGCATCATTTACCATTTTTCTTATTGCACTATTAGAGTGACTTGCTGCAGTGGATATAATTTCCAGGGATTCTAGACAGAAGAAAAAAAAAGGTAAAACAAAAAAAGCTGCATTTGTACATATTTTTATGTTACACAGAAAAAAAAAAGTAGTTCTACAAAATTATGTTCATCCTTGCTATGTAAAATTACACACTGAATAAATTTCTTAACTTATCCTCAATAAAAAGTAACCAAGGTAAAGTGGAAAATAAAGTCAGCTACCAGAAAGAAATTATAACCTAGAAAGACTGTTTGAGAGCTTCAGCATTTAGAATCACGTTTTGTGACATGAACAGTCATGGTTTTCTCCCCTCCTTCCTCAAAGTAGTCCAGGATGTCAAACTGTGGTTTTCAGTCAAAAAAACTCACATTACAAGTATTTATAGTAATGGTACTAACAATGAAATATTCCAGAAATTTATCTGTCAAGTAATTTTGAACAATCCATGGAAATAGCTTAACCTGTTCTTGGGTAAATACAGAGAGGAATAAATTTTAAAATGGGCAGCTCTTTTTCCTTACAGGAGCTTAAAAATGCAATATGTGTAACCCCACTTTTATAGAAATGAGACACACACTCCACATGTGCATAAAGCAAACCATAATGACAACAGAAACAAAAGAAAGAAAAACCACCACAAGCCCTGAACATCCGAAAAGCAAACAAATCAAAACTTGTGAGCTATTCCAAAACTAAAGCAAAACTTATGTGCTCCAGGAGGAGAATACTAAAGGCTTTACAGTTTTATGTTAGCTTCATCCACTACTGAAACAGATATTTTTCAATGATTCCTACATCTCCCGCTGAAGAAATTAATTCTTTTCAGAGGGACTTTGCTTCATCACTTCATTTTTCCTGAAAATCTCTCTAATTTACAGTATCCTCTTACTAATATCTTATCGCAGCTATTTCAATAGCTAGAAGATATTTACTTTCAGCATCTTTCCAGTCTAGAGAATCCTGAGGCAATTTCCTTAGGTAGTCCTTTAGAAGCATCTCGTAGCGTGGAATGCGTTGTACTGGTTCTAGCATGTGATGTTGCAATGTCAAATTTCCACACACTTTTTCCTTCTAAAAAATTGTAAACATATTTCAATGTAGTAGGCAAAAATGTTATTAGGATATAGTAAAATAAAGGTTATGATTGATAAAACATAAATGATGTATTTTGAAACACGCATGAACCTTCTGAAAGAAAACAGAACTACTGTACCAAACCAAATAATTAGAAATACTTTCCTAAAAATCGTTGTAAATAGTTTCTTAAGGATCTAGTAATAAGTATCCAATTCATAAATAGAATTCCTACCAAAAAAACCTCCTAACCACCAGTGTATTTTAAATTAGGTTTGTAATAACTCAGACCAGAGTTATTACAATAATTATTAAGAGACTGCTGAAATAATAAGAATAGGTTATGACCATGTATTACAAAAAGTTGTCTAAATGGCCTACAAAGGTATATTCTTCCCGTCTGGGAAGGGAATGCTTTGAGCTTCATTTATAATGCAAACCCCCTCAGCAGTGTTTTAAGACACACATTCATTTCCATTATCTTAGAAGCAATTAAAAGCTTACACTAAAATACACACAGTTGCCTTCCCTGGCTTAGAATCACAAGGCCCTGCATAGCAGTAGAATTTAAGCAGAAATACCTTCTCCTGTTTCTAGCTGCTCAGCCTGCGGTAGGAAGGCACAGACCTGCCGATTCACAGAGAAACCTACAGGGAGCACCAGAGGGTACGAAAGGCACCTTGGAGAAGAATGGTGCGTTGCTTAACCTGAGCTTTCCTCACCTTCAGTGGCTCAGCATTTAGGATTATATACTTGCTCTGGGTTACAGCGCTGGCGTGAGCCAACACGGATTCCGTGCAAGGATCTACAGTTGCACTGATACATCACTTTAACCTAAACCAGCATATTTACTTCTGGTATCTGTGCCAAAATGAAGGGGTTTTGGTTTTTATTCTTCACGTTTCAACCTTTCTACTTCATCCCGTTATATTGCACTGGAAAGGCTGATTTTGTGGGGGTATTTGTGCACACATGAGGGAAATGAGAAGAAACAGAACGTGGTATGAAGCGAACAAAACCAGCCACCCTTAATTCTAAGGGACTAGGTATTTCATTTTCTCTTCAATCCTTTTTTTTCCACCTACAAACCTGTATCTTTTTATGTATGCTTGTATTACTTGGAGATCTACATTATTCTCCCCCTTACCTGAATATCCTGAATAATGTATTTGAACTGAGGTGACCGTTCAGTCCACGTCTTCACCAATTCCATTGCGTTATCAAAATTCTTCACATACTCTCCGTACATCTTGAGGAAAGGAGCTAACTTTTGCAGAATATCTCCGATTCTGGGGGTGGTAGTCCTGCAAAGTAAGAGGGTGGAATCTCAGAGCAAACAGGAAAGAAAAAAAGTCACACAAGGTTATGAAACAGTTTCAAGTGTTTAACAGAGAATCCTTCTGTTTGGGATTGCGAGTTCCAACACACCCGCTGAAACCGGTCTGTGTTAACGTGGAAGGACTGTTTGCATCCTCTGTGATCATGTGTAAGCATTATAGGTCATGTAGAGCGCTGAAAGAAAAGCTACGTATAATGAAAAACTGGAAAGGCTTTGTTTACAAAACATGGCCTAAGTTATTTTATTTGCCGTTCCTTAAAACTACATTATCATCTTTTGACCATACTTCACCCTTTAAAACAAACCCTTAACCTGTGGTTTGGTTTGAGGACTAAATCCACACTGTACAGCCGCCCTTCTGTGCCTCATAGAAATACATGTATTTACAACTCTAAAATCACTATTTATCTAAGAAAACCTATGAAGTAGAGGGAATCCCTTGGATTCTTGTCTTTTGGGAGACCTTTCCCACATTTTTCCCAATTATTAATAGCATCTTCAAATAGAATAGTAAGGAAACTGATGGAGAGGCAGAGAAGAGATGCACCCTTGATTCACACAAAGAAAGGGGAATGGCACACATGCATCTCCAAGAACTACAACAGGAAACACAGTTCACATTCCATTTTCAAGGAGATTCAGAAACTCAGTATCTCTGGATTCCTGAAAGCAATGTTGCAGTAGTGGTCTGAAGAGCAGCAGTCTACTGCAATTACTTCAGCCACCTACTCCAACACACCACTCCTCCCAGAGAAAAGCTGTGCAGAAGGGAAAAGTTATTTGAATAGAGAATATTGCCAGGACTGGCAAAGGGTGGTCCAGCTCCAGCTTCTCCAGTGGGAGGGCAGAAGTTATGACCTGTCAGAGGTCTCTGAGCTACTGCTGGTTCTGGCTGCTGGAGAAGGTGACAAGATAGGGCAGGAAGTTGGTCTCTGAAATCACCAAGGCTCTCCACCATTAATTAGCTTTGCATATTTGTTTAAGCACTCTACATGCAAGCAGACTCATATGCTTTCAAAGGCAAGCTAGCAATTTAAAACAAAAACCCATTCCTTTGATCCATTGAATGCTATTTCCCTGGGTTGTCATTTCATTGCAATATAGTAGCATATTTTAACCAAAAATAAAGTACAAAACATGCCAATTCCAACAGAACCTAAGGGAACATGAATACATTTCTAAAGGCCACCAGAAAAAAACAAAACCAGACATCCAAGTTTTCTGATAAATTTAACCAATAAGTAATGATAATATTTTGCAATTAGAAAAACTTAAAGCAGAAAAGACTGTGGCAATCTGTTTTATCTAAGGAAACTGGCACAAAAAAACTTGTACTTAACTATTTCGTGACATACCAGACAGACATTAAAAGGCAATGTTAAAACTTTCATAAACCCAGAAGTAGAAACATCTGCTATGCCTGCTCCTTGGACACCTACGGCTGCTCATTTATACAGAGTGCTGCAATTTGACCTTCTCTGAGGATTCCAAAATTTCGTAACTACTTGATATGCAAGGCCTTGGTACATCCAAAGACTCTGAGGCTTTAAAAAAAATACAAATTCATCATCATTTCAAGTAAAGACGAGGTCCACATCGTACAAGAGCTCTGGAAGAATAGGAAGGACAGGGAAAGTCATAGAAAGCAGAACCTTCAGAGACCAACATCCTCTCCTGAGGGACTTGTAAGTAGAGACAACAAGATTCATCCCCTATTCAAACACTACATACCACGAGCCAAAATATGAAGTCCTAACTAAATGCTATCAGGTCCAGAACAGATGCTGTGCTCTTGGACAGAGATGTCAGAAAGAGAACTATTACCACAGACTCAAATTAGCACTGCACTGTTGCCAGACAACAAAGACAGCATCATTCTGTCTGCAAGGCCAGGCTGGATGAGGCTTGGAGCAACCTGGTCTAGTGGAAGGTGTCCCTGCCCATGGCAGGGGGGTTGGAACTAGATGGTCTTTGAGGATCAAGAAGTAGGACTTCACCTTATAGTGTGGGTACAGAAACACTTTGTATTATCTTTGTATTATCAGGCCACAATGCTGTTCATCTTTGCATTCTAAGAACTCAAACATGAAATAGCTGATTTACTAATCATAATTTGCAGCATCTCATTTAAAACTGTCCTGGCTGCAAGACAACTATGGAAAGCCCTGTGAAAGCACAGCACAGCAAAGGTGACTGTAGAACAACTTTCTCTTCCAGTATGCCAGCTAACAGCATACAGCAAAACTGAATGCTGCAGTTTTAAAGCAAAACAAATTGTATGAGTAGGTCAGCACTGTAATTGCCAAAATATTCCAAAACTTTGTGTTGAAAGGGTGAAATAATTTCTTCACCAACCCCCTCCCCCCTACCCCAAGGCTATCGCAGCACTGTGTTCCTATATCCTTCCCCAGGTACCTGCTATTAGTCATCCTCGGGTACAAAAGACAGTGTTAGACAGACATTTTATTTGATGTGGGATCACTGTTATGCTCTGTTATGATCTTTTCATGGGAAATATATTGCAGCAAGGCTGTTACCAGTGTTTTCAAGCCATATGTTGTAAAAGAGATATTCAGCTCCAGCTGTTGCTCAACTCATTCAAAATGCAACTACCAGACGATTTCATTTCCACCCGGCAAGCTTAGATTCACACTGCCTTTTCATCTAAGAGAGAAGAATGTGCTGGAGTTGCAAAACTATGTATTTTACCTTAAGTTTTCAAAACAAACCACAACTCCAGGAAAGCGTCAGAAATTTTTACCCAGCTATTTTTATTGGAAGCTAAGGAGTAACAGAAGTAATGTATAAAGCTACCAACAGAACATACTTCAGTAGTTTCTATGTCTAATCTGGGGAACTGCTGAAGACAGTGAACTACATATCTGGCAGAAGCTGTTGTGCCAGACAATTTCAGAGACTGCTGATGGGGAGAGAAAGTTATCCCAGATTTTTCTTTCAGCAATGACCAGAAATTGTTCTCTTCAACTGCACCATTTCTTCTACCTCCTGCCAGAAGCATCATGGTTTAAGGATATTTAAACAGCCTATCTTGGGTGCAGCACAAAGTTTGTTTCCCAGCAATGGGGGAAAGATAATGCCTCATGATGCAATTTATTAGTTTGCACCAGTAGTCGAAGCTCATGTGCAAAAGCACTTTTCAACCTGTGAAGCTATGTAATTATACACACATCATTAGCGTGTAATTTCACATTTTGCAAATGCGTAATGCAGTGCAACCCCTTGTGTGTGCTCTCTAAAGTGACTAGAACAAAATTTTAAGAGTACATCACAAATCTCATTTCAAATACATACAGAACTGACATAATGTAGTGTAAGCTGCTTTATAAACACTGTTGGACTAAGTTAAACTCCACTTCTCATGACTACGCACTCTATTTTAATCCAGGCATTCATATTTCCTAGCAGATTTTCTTTCAACTCATCAAAAAAGAGTGGATTTACCTTGGTCATTTTGCAAGGAACATTAAGTTAAGGTGCAAACTTTGTTACATTCCGTGATGCTTAGGTTTTATTTACCTTCTTGCATTATGGACTACCATGTGTTTGTGCGTGGTTACGATTCCATTTTAAAGAATCGGCATTTTAAAGGGGAATCATCTCACCAAGTCAGGAGATGTACAGCTTGTTGTCTCAAGCACCCCTGTGTGGTCTGGGTTTTTTTCACATAAGTCACAAGAACACATTATTTCTTACTTTTTTAGGATGATTTTTGCCAAGGTGTTATATGAAAGTGTAACTGGAAAGATAGCTGGCCAAAGACTAGAATTCCTCACAATAAACCCTAGATAACAGGGAATACAGCAACCACAGAGATGCTGACGTGAAACAACTGAATGAAACAATATTCAAATTGTTATTGGTGGTGTCATTTGAGTTTGGGGGTTTTTTGGGGGGGTGGTGTTTTTTAATAAGATGTCCCCTTTTCCCAAATAAGTTAGGGAAGAGCAAGGGTTTGGGACTTCCTCCCCCCCCCCAATACATCCTTCTGTCCCAGTTACATGAGACACCAAAAATACATGGCTGTAGTTTAGTGTCTCTAGAACAGTATCCACAGGGCAGGAGAAAGATACTACAATAGTACACGATCATTACAGAGGATATCTACACCTCAGCTATCCTTCCTGCTTGCTGCAAGTAGAAGTCCTGTCAAGAAAAGCTGAGTCTTGTAGTCTGTCCAGTGAATTCATCAGGCAGCACAATTTCAGTCTGAACCTCTACTTCAGCAAGGCATTTCATTGTGAGTAATCTCATTGCCTCCAGTGAGATATATGTCCTTTATTTTGAGCAAATGATGCAAACCCTCTACTGAGTCAGATCCCGATGAAGAGTGGAGGAGCAGATGTTCTCCTACGCACAGTACTTCCTAGGCCTGCAGCACTTAATTATGAAGGCACCTTTCCTACCTCAAAACCCTGTGACAGGGTTTCTACAGACACGGTTTTCATAGTGTATTAACCAGTGAATCGCTTCTTACCATTCTTGCATTCTTTTTTCAAGCTCTGGAAGTAAGAATTTACTGTGGAAGGCATTTATTGATGAAATATTAGAAAAGATTTTGTTAATCACTTCAGCTGGAAATGAACCTCTGTTGGCTTCCTCAAGGAGTCTGGAATAGAATACCTGCAATACAGAAAAAAGAACCCCAAACTTATTATCTGTAATCAATGGAAGACCACCTATCTACCCCACTTACCCAAAGAGGGTCAAGGTTAATATTTCAATAATATGGACAGGTAATGACCAACTCATTTATTATCTTTCGCTCACCTGACATTAAAAGCTTCTCCTCTCCTTAGACCCCACTTTCTTTCCTGTGAGCCAGGGAAACGCTGAGGGCAGAGCAGACATAAGGAAAGCCAAACTGAGGTGGTGCCATCTGGGATGGACTCCAGGCATCCTGTCTGTTTTAACAGCTAGATCATCTCAGCTTTCCCAGTCTTTCAGTCCTATTTTCCACTCTTGCTTTCTTTTCAATTAGCATGATGTCTGATCACCATTAGCCAAATGACTCTACTCTCCTTGCATGCTGCATCCCCTTATCCTTTTGAATTCAAAGTAACTGGCAGACTCAAATCAAAGTAGCTGGCAGACTATGAGCAGTCCCTACGTACCATTTAAAGCACAAAAGGATCCCAGTTCCGACTGAACTCTACTATAGCCTCTTTAAAAGATGCACATATCATTTCGCCATCAGTGGGCTCTCTACCTGACTAGATGCAGCTACAAAACACATGTAGCTGTTAGTGTGCACATCACACAAAACAGTGCTTATGGGGGAACTGTGGTCCCTCTATCTCCCTCTCCCATGCTTTAACAGACTGCTTCTCCCTAGAAAGGGCTTCAGAATTTTGGGAAAGAAGAGTCTGAAGACAAGAACTTCAGTAATGTTAACTGAGACAGCAAAAGTGTCTTAAAAGGGGGAAAAAACCCCATATGCTTTCACCAATACTTTAAAACATGCTGACTTTGCCGCATCTTCAGGAGGACAGTTAGTTAATTTTGACAAACTACTTTGAAGACTGTAAAGGGTATGTAACATTTTAATCTCATTTAGAAATATAAGTCCCTTCCCAGTTTCCTGCTTTCCTCTCATCAGCAGCAGTCAAGCAGCTGTGCTCGAAACGGATTTTTCAGAACTCTGTCCAGTTAATATTTGGAAAACAGGCATAGGAGTAATACACTTGTAATCACATCAAGGAAGATTACTGCACATTACCCATCAGAAAAACCTATGAACAAAGTAAATATTTTCCAAACTTTTTTAAAGCTTCTCTGCATCAAAGAGGGATTTTTTTGTTTGTTTGTTCTCTTCTCTTTTTCTCCCCAAATACTTTGTCTTCTAAAACACACCACATTTCCATCCCAACGTAGGTCTGCAAGGTAAATAGTTGTCCTCCTGAAAGTGTATTTAAGTCCCCAAACAGCCTGAACAATTATTGTATTTGTTAAGACCTTTTACTTTTCATCAACCCTGCGTACAACACTTATGCATTAGACCTGAGAAATGTAAAGAGCGATGTCTGAGAAAAATGTCGTGGAATAAAGCAATGCATAGCTATAGGTACCCAGGTAAAACTGGTATATGTGTTGTGTAAGAAAGTAAACAAGGTTTAAAAAGGAAAATACTCAAGAACTGCAGACTTCCACATTTAAGAAATACCAGTTTGAGTCTACAGAGCACAAGAATTCAACCTTTTCCTTGCAAGAAGAGTAATTTCTGTTCACTTGAACAGGACACAGTCTAAGCACATAGTGAGTAACAAGGGCACATACCGTTTAGAATGAGCAACTTTCAAGGTTCTTTGACACGAAAGAAAAATAATTTTCAGGTGGCTCAAATTTGAAAGATTTCATAATTTTCTAGTGTGCAGGCAATTTCAGTATTATAAAGTTATACTCTTTCTTGTCCACATCACCAGAAGCCAAGAAATGAGCGAGCATAACGTTATCCATCCTCCCTGCTGGAAGGGCTGCCAGTATGAGGCTTGCATGACTATTGCTTATGGTGACATCTACACACACAGAACCTACTGCATTAATACCCACAAAATTCCAATACTTAAAATGTAGTGTTCTTAAAATAGAAACATAGGCAAAGTTATGTGGCAAGAGCAAATGGCTAACCGGAAAAGCCAGCAAGATGTGAAAAACATACCACCTATAATGTCATTTATATACAGACATGCATAGCTGTTCAAGTGAATTCAAGGCAAGAAAATAAAAATAAAGTCAAGAAAAATGTACCCCATCTAGTAGGTCAAGCCGGCTAACATAGGCCTTTTCTGTTTGTAGAAGTTCACTGGCAATTTTGTGACGTTTCTGTTCATCTGTTTCCTGGAGGAAAATACAAACAACTCTTAGCATACTCGAGGAAACATAATTTAATGCTAAAAAAAAAAAAAAGTTGAAAAGACATATGATTACCTCACAGTTCAAAAAGCAGCTGGAATCCAAGCTTCACATTTCGTAATAGACACCCCATTTGAAAAATGCAATTTTTCCAGCAGTTTCACCAACAAATACCAAAGTCAGAGGAGGATAAAAATCAAACTGCTGAGTAAAACTCAGAGCCTGAAACATTTCGTATTTCTCAGTTTGTACAGGGATGTTTGCCAGGGCGCCAACTCCCTACTTAACAGATAGCTCCCACCCTGGTAATGGAGTACCACTGACCTTTCAGAGCTGGAAGAACTGATCTGCAGAGTAAGAGGGAACAGATGGGATTAGTCGGTGTTTGCTCCCACCCCCGTTTCAAGAATTATTTGAACTGCATGTTCTCTGCATGACAGAATTACTGAAAAATACTGTACAACATGTTTTATGTTCATCGATACACTCACTGCTGATTAATTGTTGACTGCAATTAGAGGCGTCCTTTGGTAAGTGTTTATGGAAGTCACTTCTGCATCTTAAGGGAATTTTTCACTTTAAAAGTTTTCCATTCCACAAAATACATTTTTGATTCTTCTGCTGAATGGAAATTTAAAACATTCATTCAAATTTCAATATTAAACTAAATATGTTAGGAGATAAAATTACGAGACGCTGTGAGAAGTTACTTCAAAACAAAGAATGTAAGCACAGCCTTCTACAACATTAAGATACTGGGGAAATGCCTCAGGCTCAGAAATGTCAGATTCAACAAAATGACACTTCCATTACAAGATTTTTCTTCCAGCTCTAGTGCTAGTGCTGAAAAGTGTTCACACGTAACGACAACAGAGTCGTTCCTAAGTAAATGGCAGCCTTATCATGGGGCTTTTGGGAAAGTGGTGATTTTCTAGACGAACCATAGAAAGGCTTCATAAAAAAAATAAATAGTAGAGGTTGAAAGACTTATTTCTGATTTCAAACTGCACACTGCTTTCCCCAAGAGTACGATAAACATTTGCAAGTACAGTTATAAAGATGGCTTGCAGAATATGAATACTAAAGTACAGCCTTTTCATTTAAAGGACTTCTGTGACCTTTTTCTCTCCCCTTTTCAATATTCAAAAAGTATTCCAAATTCGAACACATTTCAATTCTGAACCGCAGTCACACTGCTACATGGCAAGCCTCCTCCCTAAATACAGGCTTTCAATAGTGACTTCAAAGCTGTTCATTAAATCTGTTTAAATCAGCATAGCAACCACAGTAACCTACTGAACAGCATTTTAAGTGCTGTCAGGAGATATGCAGGGAGCTGGAGGATTAGCTATTACAGCTACAGTATGCTGTTTAGTGCAGCCATTTACAAGGGATCTCACATGTGGACTTGAGGCACAAAAGCATGGAGGCTACTGGTTCCTCTGCAATTTTATTTTGTTCGGATTTTTTTCCCCCCATCTTCCCAAAACCCCACTTTCTCCCTGAAGCACTGCTATAGTAGCAATCTACAGTTTCCAGAACATTACTTGTATTAATTAAAAGAGGGAAAACTACACATAGCAGACTTTAAAATATCACACAAAAGGAACAATTTGTAAAAAGCATTTAATCCTCACTCCTAAACCAGGGCAAATCCCACTTATTCTCCCACTATATTCTGACCCCAGCTTCCCCATCCTTTCAGTATCAACATATCTTCCTAATTCTTGAACCTCAGCCTCCTCTCTACATCAATTACACTACCTGACTCAGAAATCTCCTAAGGGGAAAAAACTACACACCACAGATGACTTACCTGTTAATCACAGTGGCATCTTCCTGCATAAGAAGAGACTCCTATAGGCTTATATCAGTACAAGAATAAAACTATGTCACTAGTTTTCTTTTAGGGAAGTCTTCAGTTTCCCAGCTCAACATCTCAATTATTTGCCCACGACACATGAACTCCCAGCTACATTTTCTACTAGCTCCAGCCTCCTCACTCGCCCACTTCAGTGTCTTATCTAGTATCCCATCCAAAGAAAAGCACCTGGTTTCCACGAGGTCACTCCAGCTTTCTTCCTGTTGGAAACAACAGATCATAGGCTATTTTGCTAGTTGTTGTATCTGTCTCCTGAGAGGCTTTTCTGTATGAAAGTGGGAGCCACTTGTCCAGAGCACGTGGGGTGAACTGGGACCAGATGCATGGGTAGATGTATGGGTCCTGGTAATGCTATGCTACACGGCAAAGCACATGTGGTGGAGAGTCTCATCACGGCATTAAGCCAGTGCTGCAGCTGGTGTATGCATATATATAGAATCACAGAACAGTTTGGGTTGGAAGGGACCTTACAGACCATCCAGTTCCAACCTCCCTGCCATGGGCAGGGACACCTTGCACTAGACCAGGTTGCTCACAGCCTCATCCAGCCTGGCCTTGAACACTTCCAGGGATGGGGCATCCACAGCTTCTCTGTGCAACCTATTCCAGTGCCTCACCACCCTCGCCATGAAGAACTTCTTCCTTATATCTAAACTAAATCTTCCCTCTTTCAGTTTAAAGCCATTAGGCCTTGTCCTATCGGTACAGGCCCTTGCAAAAAGTCCCTCTCCAGCTTTCCTGTAGGCCCTTGGTTACTAGAGCTGTTCAACAAAACAGCCTTGAAAAACCTTGTAGAGACAATGGAGGAAAATTATTAACAAAAGAAAAAAAAACCAAAACCCACCACTTTAAAAAACATGGAAAACTAAGTTAGTAGTATTCAACTTCTGAGAACATCAATGCTTCCCTGAACAACTACTGTATCAAATCTAATCCTTAAGAGTAAAAGGGAATTTTAATTCTAAGTTACAAGTTATGCTTTATTTTCACAGGATATAACCATAAATGCACACATTTCATAAGTAGGATAAGGTAACAGAAATAAGAGATATGGACACATTTTTTTCTAGAGGAGTTTTATATTTCCCTCCTATGATTCCTTTATGTTTTTAGTACATCAGTATTTATAGTGGGTTCCTTGCCTTTAACAAAAAATACTGAGGCAAAACGTTACTACAACGTATACCTGGACACATACTCTATCGCTCCAAGCACAACTTCTCAATGACTTCAGGGAACTCTTGAAACTCCTGCAACAATCCATAACACAGGTCAACTCCCAGAAGAACAGTCAGGAATAGTTAGTGTGATATACAGAGAATGTTCACGTTAGACGTGCAGGACTTCCACTGATGAAGATGATATCAGAAGTCTGAGGTAACGTTACACTACTGATGTCTACTTCAAAGTTAAAAATGTTTAGGCAGCTTTGTTAAGCACTTAAGCAATTTAAAAGAATGAACCTCTACTCTTCTCCAAATAATAGGTGAAAGTTGAATAAAACAGTACTATTCATTCTACAGGTGCAGCTGAACTAATTCTCTACTTGTCTCACAAAAAGTAACCTTTGAAAACTCCAATTTCAGACAATTTTTAATGACATATCTTTAAGCTATAGGCATATAAAATTTGACAAGGTGCCTAACTATTCCAAATATTGTAACTTTTTCTTCCCTTTAAATAGTTCATATGCTAAACGTGGGTATGTAAACAAGAAACAAATTTGTTGCCTAGTGAAGACAAGATACAAAAGTAACTTAGGGCAGTTGTTACCATCATCTCTAATTACCCCAAACAGGGGTATTTTGTTGAATAATTTATTAGCTGAGGTATTTAAAGATCTTAATCAGACCATACTTTCCATTCTATCCAAACATTTGGCAAAGTTCATCAGGAAGGACTGAAAACTTCTATCTCTATATAGGATGCTTACAATAAGTATTTCACCTGGGCTTAGTTGTCTACTCTTTAGTACAAAGTTGCACATCCTTAGAATCATTACATTGCTATGGATCCTTAAGAAATTAAAGCAAGTAATTGTTACCTAAATTGTTCTTGAACTCTGAAGTGGAGGTATGAAAAATGCTGCTGAGAGTATGAACTCTTTGCATCTCTGTTCATATTTCCTTTGTTTTTCCATTGTCCTAAACTTGCAAAAAAATTACACTGATTTAAAGCAGACTTTACTCAAAGCTAAATCCCACTATAGCCATAATCTAGTACCCTAACCAAACAGAAGCCATCTCCCATCAAGAAAGCTATACCTACCAACACGACAGCGATACTGTAAACAATCCACCCCTATTTAGGTGCAGCCCTTGCCCCAGGGACTTGCAGTAATGCATTAAACAACACAGACGGGGTAAGAGATGTAGAATATGAACAAATGCCATCCAATCTATGTTGTATGTGTGTGTTTGCTGAGTTTGGTCTAAAGTAACAGAGCGGAGTTTTCTTTCCCAAAACCATTCGTGTCATAGCTGCTTCATGATCCAAATGTTTCTTCTGTAAGTATTGGAAATATAAATGTAAATTTCCATGAGAATTTAAGATTTCCTTTAATCTCTTAAGTCCTCAGTTTCTGAAATCAATGAACGCACTGAATTTTGCAAGACATGCAATGAAAATCCTGAGTGCTCCCGCCACTTTCTGGCATATTAACTTTATGCAACAGTCCATTGCACAAATGGCAGGTGAGTTTCTTGCACAGCAACCAACAGAAGCAGTAAAGATCCTGAAATCCTAAAGAGCCAATTCTTCTCAACAGGATTTACGTGTTTATATTGGCTGCTGAAGATACACAGCTTTGCTCATAATTTACTGTTGCTAAAGATGACCTCTGCCAGGTTTTGCATCAAAAACACCAGAGCTCCCAACAGTGCCATGAAGAGGACACATCAGGTAAGAACTTTTAATAAAGATGCGTAATGGATCTTCCCCATCTGCAGCACGTATGCGTGCAGTCTATATCACTATTTCCAACCAGTCTCACAACAAATACCGAAACATTTGTCTAGCAGCAGATTTCTCACAAGATGTTATTCAGGAAGTTAATTGATTAGGATGTTCTTGCACTATTCAGCCTCCGCATTTTAGGCAAACCAAATTTTATGACAGAAGGTGCTTCTGCTGCAAGGCAGGAAACATGATTTTTAATTATCTTTCTGCTTGCGATATTTGTGGTTTGTGACCTTCAAATTAGTTCAGTAAATGAGAAATAAAGCATACTCTTCTCTGGTCATTTGGGGAAGATGTTTCAGAACACTGCCAAATTTATTAAGTTTTGTTTCAACTTTTCCAGAACATGCAATAATCTGACTTTAGTCGGCTCTGCAGTGATAAGGAGAAGAAAAATAATTTTAAGAGCAACATTACTTCACAATAAACTTTCTTTTCCAAGTCAAAAATGTAATTTCTGCTGTGGTTTTGCACCATTCCCCAATTCAGTTCACTCTTGCCAGCAGAGGACTTAGTTCACTTCTGCCATACATGTATGCATTTACAAAGAGACAGCACCACTTCCTTCTCTTCCTTGAATTAGGCAAGAAACAAAGACAATATACTTTGCATCAATATCAAAATATATATCAGATGCATAATTTAAAGTTGGTCCATGACTCACATGCATCTGCTCCTATTGCTTTTACCCAACTGTACCTACACTTGCCTAATTAAAAAGGGCAGAAGAGTGCTGTTAGTCAGTGCAATGCAACTTCAGCTGGATCTCATCCCAGTGTTAAGATTCTTTACTCACCAAGTGGGTGCTTAGCAAAATCACAGACTGTCTAAACGCTCTTACTTCTTCCCCATGCCTGCTTGGACACAGCAACAGCTCAAAGCTTTACCAAAACTCTCCTGTTCCTCACCACCCTCCCCCTATTCCAGACAGCATGGCAGCAGCTACAGGACTGATTTCAATCTATAGGTTGCATCCATCCAAATTAAATCAGTGTTTGATTTTGTAAAGCATACCCATTAGATCAGTCTGTGGTAGACATGATTCTTAATCTCACTAAAGGGGACAGACATCCTTGTATTGCAAGCGAGCTGGTACCTCAGGAAGTGCTGCTGTGACAAAAGTTCAGTTTTCTAGATTGAGATCTCCCCTGATGCTGACTTCAGAATTGTTCTGCATGGGTTTGCTTCGTTTCATTTTGTTTTACCCTTGTAGCACTAGCAAACAATACGTCTAGCAACAGTTATGTCACACCTCACAATTAGGCTGTTGGTCAGTATAGGGCAGATCACACGTGTTAGTCCCCCTGAACCTCAGCGACAGATTTGGACAAGATTGCTGCCATTAGCATTTGCCCAGTTCCTTCCTGGACTTTACAACAGGACTGCCTCCCACGTCTGCTTTTTCCTGAAAATGCTGCCAGCGCCTTACTGCGTGACTTGGATTCAAGCTTAATATCGTTGCCCACAGAGCATTCAGCACTTTAATGGTACAGAGAGGGGAAACAGGCATTACCGAACAGGAGATGGAAACATAATGAGAGGTGTGGCAGGCTAAAAGGTGCCTTGGACCACGACCAGACTCATGTTTAGATGGGAATCATAACATTCATTCATTACTGGCAAAACCCACCGCCAAAACAAACAAGAAAACCCACAAAACCAGTGCCTTCTTGTCATTACCTAGGATACTGTATCCTATCATATATGAGAATCTGAGACCCACCTTTCCCACACACAGAATTTACCCCCAAGTGTGTGCATACGGGACCCCCTAGCTAACCTAACGCAAGGCTCGGAGAGATCTGTCATGAACTGATGCAGGTGCACTCCTGACAAGCAGTGAGCAGCTGTACCAGTGCTCAGCTGTTTGGCTCCACGGTGAAGAGGAAGGCTTGGAGGGTCCAGCCCAGCCCCCTCTGCAATGGCTCACACATGGCATGGCTGGACCAGAACTCTTAATGATGTCCAGCCACCAGTGTTTCAGTACGATAAGGCAGACTGCATAATCAAACTTCTAGAAGAAGAAATATGCACAGTTTTTCAGCAATTAATTTCCCAAGACAGATTTTCTTCCACCCACTTATTTCCCTTAATTATTTAAAACCTTCCTTACAAGGAAGCTCAAATTTATCATAAGTTCTCCTTGCTAACAAGGCATATATTTAGTAGGCTAGGAACCTTGCGTCTATCTGATAGCTAGCAGACTGCCACTGCCTTTCCAGCTTTGACTTGACAGCTACATCCAAGTTAAGAATTCACATGCTAGTTCTGCCTGAAGCCCTGTCGCTGCAGTTTACTACACGTGGAATCTTATTTTATGTACACCACTAACATGTGTCCCTTACTTAGGCTGGTACAGCTGAAGCTTAGTGCTAAACATGTTCACATATTTCATTTTCACTTTTTTTTTTTGACCAGAGGAAAGGAGCCTTATTTTTGTAAATAAAAACCTAGATAAAATACATAAAGTAGTAATATAGGAAGAGCAAAACAATTTCTCTTTTTACCTTTGTTTCTACAGGTTGATCTTGCTTAGTGACTTCCTCAGTCGGTTCTTCCTTCACATTAGTATTAATTGCTAGAGTTTCATTGTCAGACGGGAGCAGCGTATCACTGCTTGGAGTCCTGTAGCAGCTGTTAAGCATTTGTCCTTCACAGGCAGTCATACTCTGCAATGACTCTCTGGAAGTACTTTCTCCGTTTATCAGTGTGCTGTTGACGGCATTATCTGGGACCGAGGTGGACACAGCGGAGCCACGATCAGGTAATCTCTGGTCCTCATCTTCTGTCTGGTCTGGTGCTACTACTCCATTGGCTGTGTGTATCTGTGCAACCTGAGTTTTGTCGGTATTACTGTTTCCCTGTTTTTGTAGTGGGTGTTGGGAGGGGAGTTTTGGCTGAGGTGATGGTGTTGACCCATATCTTCCTTGAGATTTAGGAATGTGGAGAACAGAGGAATCTTTCTTCAAATCACTAGGATTTAACGGGCTAAACAAAACACAAACGAGAGAAAAGTTAAACATGGCATTATAGAAACTCCCTGGTAATGGGAAGTTGGAGAGTTGCACCATATAACAAATTCTTCCCAAGCCATTTTTTTTCCTGTCCTAGTATTAGGAAGTTTAGGCCATTGAGACTTGAACTGCACTATCCACTGAAACACCCAGAGTGCTGTCTGTATTGATTCATTACATCCTCGTGTGTCTTGGATCTCAATTGTAAAGCGAGTGTAGTACGGTCAGCTACACATAACAGGTAAGGGAACGGAGGCACTGGCACATGAAGCAACTTGTCCAAAGTGTCCCAGGTGATTATTTGCAGAATTGGAGAAAGACTTTGTCTTCCAAGTCCCAGTCCAGTGCTTAAACTAACAAGCAGCCTGTTCCCTAGTTCCCTTTAAATATAAAAAATGCACAAAAAATGTCCAAGAACATTCAGCATTCCTTTCCTTAGTTCAGCATGTTGCAGGAGAGCTTTTAATTCGCACCTCATCTCTCTTCCTAGTTTCCTTATTTAGCAGTGTTTTTTCATCATGCTGTATCTTTTCTGAAGGTTTTTTCTCCTCCCTATTTTATCTCTGCTTAAAACACGTCATCCCTTGTGCATACCTTTCACTCTCTCCTTCTCTATTTTATTTTTGACATTTTTGATTGTAGACTAATATAAATATTAGACAACTCTGTAAAGTGCTTGGCTTCGCTGTAGTTAAAAAAAAAAAATCATTGGAACTGAAATAAAACCTATACATTTTTGTCTGAAGTACATTTAACAAGCCATATTCAACTGCAAAACAACACCATGACTGTCGTCTAACACATTGTTCCTAGTATAGAACATTAATCTTCTGAAAAGATGAAAACTGCTTATAAACTGTGTGGTTACTCCTTATTTATAGGACAGCTTACTCAAATATTGTAAACATATTCTGCACTTTAGTACACAGAGCTCAAAAATTATCTTATACTAGCTTTGTCTTCTTCCATCATATGTCAAAAAAAATTAAATCAGTTTTCCTTTCGTTGTGTAAAGATTACACCTTTTCTGAAAAATAAGCTTAACTCCAAGATAGAATTAATTTACATTTTTCAATTGCATGCACACAGCAAAGAGGTTTAATTAACTTTTTGCCATGCCTACATGTTTTGTGGGCTATACAGACTAATGAAAATATGTTATCATAATTGACAATCACAGTTTGCAGTTCATGAACGTGCAACCTAGTCATTTGAAGATCAGTAATTACACGTGAATTTCACCTTCAAGGAAGACACATTTTGTGAGCTGAGCTCTTTTAAAAAAACCCTGAAATTGCTTCCAGAGCTAAAGCTGGATATTCCAGAATTTGGCATGCTAATTATGGAAGTTTCTCATAAGCAGAGTTCGTAGAATTGAAGAGAATGTCATAATTGGACAGATATTATCGGGGATACTTCATGAATTATGCTGGCCAAAAAGCAACTCTGCTTCCCCTAGTCACCAAAACAAAACGTCCTGGTTTTTAAAAGCCTACAAATACGAAAAGTTTTCATTGCTCTCTTTAAAGTTTCTTTTAACTGCCTAACATTGAAAGAATTTCTGTACAAACCAGCAGACACGTCTAGGAGGAAGAAATGTAGGGTTCATTGGTGTATGGCAAAACAAACCTGAGGAGTTTCTTTTCAGAAAAGATAAAACTCCTTTTTCTAAGGATACTATGCTGTTAAAGAGACTTGGATGATGCTTTGGAGGAAGACTGGGAAACAAGGCGATAACAGGACTGGAGAGCTGAGCTAGAATTCACAAGCTGCTTCTCTATATAGCATACAATTTCCCCCACCTTGAGGGGGAATTCTTACCATGAAAGCCTTAACGCTCTGGCTCCTCAGAAGAACACACTCTGTTGTACATCATGCATTCATTTTGTCCCCGCAGGGGGCAGCCCTTCAGAACATCAGTATCCCCAGGAAACGCAAGAAAGCCACATCCAAAACTTGCAACACTCAGCTGTCACTGGACTGTCACTTTAAAGCCCATGACAGAGGAGCAGTTCTGGAAGGTCGCTCTCTCTACACACAGCAGATATATTCAGAACTTTCGCTTCAGAGCTTAAAATGCTTGTCACATACACCTAATTAAAGACACACAAGTAACACTATTTTGTGAAAGCAGAGTTCACTGTGGATTGTCTTTCTCCAAGTTCCAAATGTTTCCTGTAAAAGCCAGTATCAAAACTCTAAAAACCCCAAGACATTCCACCAAAATCACCAAGTACTAGCAGGAACACCGTTTAGTGAATGTATGCCATAGCCTCTTCACAGGAATGAGCTGAAGAGGTTAAGTCAGTGTAAAAGGAAAAATCAGGATTTTGTGTTCTTCTCTTTGCTTATGAAGTAAGTAATTTTTCTGGAGGAAAAAAAGATTTCAAGATTAGCACCAATGTTTCATTCTAAACCCAGCACCTATTTCAAATGGCTGACACTTTTCAGGATGTTTTAAAAATGCTACAAGTTTGCATTGTTTGTTCAGGGTTTAAGAAAAATGAAGACTTAGCACCTTATGAAAAAGCACACGCTGGACAGGCCAAACAGACAATTGGCTTGCACCACTTCAGAACACGTGCAGTTTTGCCATGACCAGTTTCAGCACTACTGTGGTACCAACATTTTGCCTTGCAGGTTCAAGTTCCAACAGTCCACACATGACAGCGTTAAAGAATTCAAATTCTGTTTTACATACCTGCCTCCCTCAAAACGATTGATGAGATCTGACACTTTACTGGACTTTTCCTTTGCGACACTAGAAACAGGGGTGGGTGCCTCCTCCTCCATCCTCCGTTTCTGATTTGATAAAGCTTTATGCCTGGGGGTTTGGTATGTAACAGGTGACGCCTTCTGCAGATGAACTGGCTTTGGAGGCACTGCAAACAACAACAATCAATCGCTCATGAAACGTTCCTTTGAGCTTCAATAACATTTTTGTTATTTTGTTATTTTGTGAGTTTTTTGCTTAAGAACTGACTACAGTAATGAAGAGATGGGCTTCACTTAACCTCAAAGTTGCTTTATGAGTACATGGACTTAAGAGTTGGGGTTTTTTTATGCACTGTCTGGTATCAGGGACCTTGTTATATTTCTTGTACAAAAGCCAAACTACACCCTACCTTAATAAGCTAGAAAATCCAGGGGGTTTCTTGTCTGGTTGGTTTTTACTGTAGTAAACATGTATGTGGCCTCCATAAATGCTGGTTTTATCGTTAAAAAAAAAAAATAATTAAGCATAATCAAAGGATCGAGCTGAGCTGTGCTGTGGAGCTCGAGAGATTTAAATTGCTGCCCCATAACTCTGGTGTTCTCATTCATTACCTTCTCCCTCATTACCTCAATAATAGCAGTCAGTGGAAAAGGTATTTGCCTTCAGCTTTGAGCTTCCTTTACTCACTGAACCTTTGTCAATTTATACTGCCGAAATCCGAGCCCCCTGAAAATATTTATTCTTGCTTTTTCCCCACCCCAACCCTATGTCCTTATAATTAGATGGTTAATGATTAGCCACTATTCAATACAGCAGCAACTAGAACACAAAGGACAAGATGACACATAAAGCAACTACAGTCACAAGTACTGGGGATCTTTAACTTTCATTCCTTGAAGCGACTGTGCAGCATTTGTGGCAGCACAAGCACTCCACGGGCAGGGCCCGAACGCATTCCACTGTCAGGGCAATGCACCTCCAGCTCCATCAAAAAGAGACACTTAACAGAAAGGTCCTCCTTTCCCAGGAACACAACGCTGCTCCTTCCCACACACACTCCAAAAGCATATTGTGCGGAGAAGTGGAAGCATTTGATACGAAAATGAAAAATAAAGACTACATCAGCCTTTAATAAAAGGCAGGCATAAATCAGCAGGATTAGGCAAGGTGCTGCCAGTGGAATAGGCAGCCCCAGGGGCTAAGCCACCATGCTCTGCTCTGCCACAGGGGTTGGCCTCCAGCAACTGCACAGACCTGCCAGGGAGCAAACATGAAAGGGAAGGAGGACAGGGATTGGCATCAGGAATCACGTGCAACTCTCATGGAAGAAAAATAAGCACTAGCACAGACCCTAGAACATCTTACTGACTTACTCTGGAAGCCCTGAGCACCACAGGAATTACTTTAAATCCCATCACCTGACATCTGAAAGGGTTGTTGAAAAAAATTCTTGCAAATATGCTATCACAGACGATAAAGGAATACTTAAGGGTGACTTTCTATCTTACCTTACAATATATTTATAGGAGGTAATATTTATCTGTGCTTCCAATAACCTAATTGCACTTAAATGGGATTGTAGTGACTGCCGTGGTCTGAAAAGTACACTATGAAGAAATGAATTTGCCACAAAATGCTTTATACTTCAACCGTATCAGCTACAAATGCTGATGAATTAAATAACCAGAGAGGGAAGGAAGAGAATTACTGTAGATTCTTTTACTGTGTATATGTGTGTATCTTTGGTCCTTTCAAGCCTTATTTTATATTTATCAATACAAGCAAAAAAAGCAAGTTTGGGGAAGGATGCAGTACCGAACAGTTACAATGCAGCCCTGAAGCAAGAAGAATACTGATCTGTGTAACTGCTTCAGTACGTGTGGTAAGTGAAGCCTCTCCGGCAAAGCTGCATGGCATTTGCTCAGCCACAGCTGCAGTGCGGTGGAGCAGCTTTCCCTCTTCGCAGGGAGTTTGGAGAAGGGCTGGCAGAATTAGGCCAACGAGCATCAGATAATTGTCCAAGCACTGAATAGCTCACTGCGCTGACAAAGGCGATGGGACAGCTGAAAAAGGCGAGACAAGTGGGCTGGGAAAAAGCAGGACACATAATTGAGCGTGGGCACTGCCATTCCCTCGGGGAGGAGATGGCAAGGAAAGAGGACACTGGGTGGATTTACTGACCAGAACTACACCAGCTTGTAGAAACCCTTCTTGCTCTTGCAATGGATTTTGTATAGCCCGTAGTCCTGTGAATTCTCCCATTTAATGGGACATCTCTTCAGTTCTTTTGTACATCTCATGAAATGTTAATATGCTCACAAGGATATATTAAAACTACTAAACTTGAGGGAATTAATGTCTACTGATAAAGAAGGAGGAATTAGTTGGAAGCTATTTTTATACTGGATCCACTGGGACAAAAATCAAATTCTAGGACATTCTGTGGAGGTGTCGCACACTTTTGCAGCTATTGCTATGGAAAAAATGTATAAAGAAAAACCCAGCATAGCAGCATTTCAGTAGGGCAAGCCCAAGGAACCTCTAGTGAAACTGCACAGTCACAACACACTGAAAAGCCCTGTAATGTCTTCAGAGAAGAACCACAAATTAAACAGTCACACCAACCCACTAATGCAAGATATTTCTTCTTTACTCCCTCTTACCATCTAACAGACAGCATTTCCCCTAATCAGCTGCTGCTGTAGCTACTCTAAGCTTTAGAAAAAGAACCACAGGAAAAGGACAGTCACAAGATCAATGAAATGAATCAGTAGCGTAAGAAAAAACTGCAAGCCTTCCTGTAAGGTCAGCCTTGTTAACAGGGATTATGGAAAACAAATTCCATTAATTCTCCCCTCAATGTACTTCTGAAGTGTTTTGTTTTAATCAGATTATTTTTCAATGCGCACAGAGCAAGAATCTTAAAGAACAAAAAAAAGAGAAAAGACTGGCCCATTGTAATACCCTGAATAATACAGAGCTCTGTTCGAGTCTATAAATACTCTTGTCTCTATACCATAGAATTTTGAGCTCATTAGGAGATATGAGCTGCATATTCTGCCCAAAGAAAACACCTCAGTATACTCAGGTAGCTGCTGCTGCTGCATAACACTAGCCAAAAATCCCAATCAAGACTGAAACCGCAGTGCCTAATTGTGCATTTGCCTTTGTACGTATACGTTAGGAAATGGGAGGTACAAACGGCTCCAGCAGGTGCAACCACCTTTGCCGACTCCAAAGCGTATTAGTGAAGGTCGTTTCTCTCTTCTCTTGGAAAGCATAATGTGTTCAGTCTCCCTCTACACATTTAACTCCTGCTGATTAAAAATGCTGCTACGGTTTTATCCAATGAAAACAGACAGTCCCCGTGGTAAGTAGCTACAGCTCTCCTGGCTGAGTCATCCTTCATCGCCTCCTTGCATGCTCCATCACCATCTGGAAGGTCACATGAACACAGATGGACAGATACCAAAGAGCTCACAAGAGATCACAAGAACACTCACTAGAACAGTACAAAGTAACTAGTAACCTAGACTCAGCAGAGGGAAAGAAAAAGTCATCTCCTTTTCAGGATATACATTTCCACAATTTTATATCACATCAGAACAAGTATCTTCCAATAATATATTAAGAAAGAAGACCAATAATAATCAGGTGTACTTTGTTCTCTCATTTGTCTTCTTCCTGGAGATAAAGTTTGAGACTTAACTTTGTTGATGAAAGAGACATTGCTATAGGTTTCTTAAAGCACCACTCAGATTGGAGAAATCTAACAAGAAACAGCTCTCAATTTTAGTTCAATTCACCTTTAACTGTAGTGGTTTCATTTGTCAGAGAAACACAGTCTTTCAGCTTTTCTGGGCCAAAGCTACTCAATGCCTTCAAGACCATAAAAAAATACCATCATTAACTGAGAAAGGAGGTCAGGATGGATGCTGCACATCAGATAGCCAGCTAAAACTGACTGCTGAAGTCTACGTGTTGAATGCTTTGTGTGCGTACCATTTCACGGCAGCACAAACCAGGACATCTTCTGGAGTGGAAAATCATCTCCAACCCAAACAGAAATGCCTCTTCAGGCTCAGCAGGAGATTCACAAGTACTCCTAAGCACTCATTAGAAAAATTTAAATGAGCAACTGATGCACAGTCTTGAACTGACAAGGCACTTCTCTGCTTTGAAGAAGTGTTGACATTTCAACATATTTTCCATCCTACAATAATACATCCTACAATAATAAGACAGCAGTTTCAGCACCCACTATTTAGTAATTGGGTGTCATAAACTCATGCAAGAGGTTCAAAGTGCAGGGAATAGATGAAACCAGATAAAACTGGTCAATTTGTACATGTCACTCTACATGCATTCTGCTACTGCTGGGTTCAGACCGCTGCCCAAGTATTTGCAGATAAGGGCAAATTTCAATTTATCTAACAATTTGCTTCATCACTCATGCATCATATTTGCCTTGGAGCTCAGTGGCTTATTTTGCTATTCCCACCGACTACCTCCAGTCTGGACTAGTCCACTTTATGAGAGAAGGCACTGCACTGATGCAAAGGCAGAGCACCGTGTTTCACAGCTGATACAGACTGCAACTGCGCTTCTCTGCAGTCCTGATTTTCCTTGCTCAACACTCTCGCCAACTTTCAGTCAGTTTCAGGCTTTGTTCCAAATCTGCAAAGACTTTCACATGTCAAATTGTACCCAGCACAGAAATCTGACATATGAATTGCTAAATTGTTGATGGAAGGAAATATTGGGGAACAAAAATTGCTCTTTTATTGTCATGTTACCAAACAGCTAGTTTGTTTTCACCTTGAAATGCCAGGGGGAAAAAAAGCTTTAAAGAATTTTATATTGGATTCTGTACAGAAATTTATTCACTTTAGCTAGCTACACCGAGTAGCTGTTTCCAAATATTTAAACTACGTCTCAGAGACCAAGTACAGACAAAATGTGTTCAGGATTCACTTCAAGTGCTAGATTTTTGGACACTTTTCCTCTATATTAAGGCTTTATTTCCTCTACTAAAGCTAAAGTTTACTAAAAATAGTAGTACCCTTTTTATAAACACAATATCAAAGTGATCTTTACATCTCTTATTTTAATGATACACATTTTGGTAGGTTAGATGAGGGTCATTTTGCAGTTAGTTCATCAAGAACCAAACACGTGGCATTACAATTCAGGTCTGTCATCTTTACTTCCTTTCACTACGAAAGATCACAATATTTGCAGGACTTCAGCAACAATTTGGAAAAACATTTCCTCTACTGTAAGCCTAAAATGTTTCTGTACCTGTACATGAAAAGCTGTTAACAAAAATTAGCAACTAGATTTAAATTAATAAACTATAGCAATTTAGTTTGCTTAGATTGTTTGGACTCCCAAATGTTTATCTCATTATTCTATTTTGTTTTGCTTCAATTAAATAAAAAGGCCAGAATGATACACTACATACATTTGATATGATGCACATATTCCCAGAAACAAATGGAGAAAGACATATGCCATGAACAACTCGGGCACAAAACACTATTTACAACAGTATTATTGAATATAATCTATGCAGCTGCATTTCTTCAACTACAACCCTACTCCTGGCTACACCACACTTTGAAGCAAGCAATTTTGACAAACACAGATGTCATGGCTAGGAAAGAGCAACAACAGCTGTGTAACTACTTCAATGAATGGGGTCCAGTAATAGCCAACTCCTAATTTATCTAACAACTGAAATTTATAAAGTGGGATGGCTCTGTTTTTGAAAGGCTTGACATTCTTTTTAATGGTTGCCCATTTATCTTTATTCCTTAGGAAATTTCTGAAATATTTTTCTTAGGAAGGACTTCTGTGTTCTTGTTAATCTAGCTTCAGAGAACATGTTTCGGTGACCTAGGAACTGGTGCAGAAAGACCAGTCAGATAATGTTTACATTTGACTGGTAAAAACATCTTAGTTTAGTGAACAACACTGCAAAAGTTCTGTAAACACAAAACAAAAAACTACAACTTCAGTTTGCTCTGAATTTCCTTGACACCCCAATAAATGTCTTCCCTCCTTAACTCTAAGATGAACTCAGGACCAATGTAAAAATTCTTCAAGATGCATTTTCCCATTAACTGATACACAGATTGTTAAATCCACTACAAAATGACTTTATGTGATTCTAGTTTCTATAGATGTGATTAAGTTCTCTATAAAGTAGTTCTTGTTCCTGTTGTATCAGCACTGCCTCTCGGAATCCAAATCACTGAGCAGGATCATGCTATCAATCTTCTAAACTCACTCTTTTTTCTAACTTTTGCGATGAATGAAGTTCCTATTGTACGTCACTCCTAAGAGACATCAGTCCAGATGTGCTTTGAACAGAAGATTTCCAGAACATACTGAACTCTTTGTTGCGATCAACCTCTGCAGAATCATCAATATTACTGAGACGACCACATAAAAAGATAGTTTGAGGTTTAGATATCTAAGGTCACCATGTAGGCTAGAAACATATTTAGCTTCTAAAAGTAGATCTACTATTTTTGTACAGGAAGAAGGGAAATCTACTTCTACTCTGCAGACATTACCAGTCAGCTTTTACCACACAAACATGAAGTTTTCACCTCCTTCCACATAATCCTGCAGGTGGGCTCCTGTCGAGCTCAGCTAAATCCCAAAGGTCCTGAATATTTTCCCCACCACTACCACCTCAAAGCCCTCCATCTAATTAAAAAATAGTACCACCACCTTCCAGCTCAAATACAGTAATCCTTCAGAAAAACAAGCCCTGACAATAGTTTAATACAAACAAGAGGCTGATGTCTGCTGTCCCACCTCCACCTACGAGCCATTACTTGGGCAGAGAATGAGTTTAACACCTCCTGCCTGGCAGTAAGCACACAAGAAATTACTAGGTGCTTGAGATAAAAGGGTAGATATCCCTATGTGCTTATAACATAATACTAAGCCCAACCTTCCTTCTGAGAATCTTTTTCAGTAAAATATTATCAGAAACTTCAGATTTCATACAGCACTTAGAAAAGATTTTATTTCAGTAACAAGCTTTTACCCTTCTATTTACTTCCTGAGAAATACAGTTCTTCCAAGGTGCTCCAATTCTCTTAAAGTCTGAGATGAAAAACAGCTTCCTTAACCAAAATTATTTGAGACCACTTACCTTGTGGCTTTGGATTTGAAGCTGAACGTGGGGACCGTTTGACTGGCACACTTCCATTTATTCCCTGAGCCGCTTCATTGTGTACACTCTGCTCAACTAGCCTGGTTGTGGTACCCGTTGGACAGGATCTAGACAATATTAAGGACTTTGGACAGATGCTGCTGCCTGAAAGACAAATTCATACAAAAATCCCAGAGTTAGAAAAAGGATTAAATATAAGGTAGAATGACTATAAACACATTTATTAAGTGCTAACACTTTTCTACAGAGAAAGTTAGAATGCTCATCTTCCCTTTAAGAGTGTCTCAATCTAAAAACACGCTTTGCCTTTTGCTGAAGTTTATCATGTTGTTTAAACCTTAAAAAGCTGGATATAAAAAAAAAAAATCCAAACAAACTTTGGTGACGAGTAGCCTAAACTCTTCCATAGAAAGATTACAATCTAACAGACTTCTTCCTATGCGAATTGTCAAGGTGCTCGCTCAACTGAACTACAGAAAAACCAGCATTTTTTGTTGAACCATTTTATTGCTGTATTTAAAGTGTTCACAAAAAGCTAACATTCAAAATGTTTATTTTATGACAAAATAAAATGTTTATTTTATTACAAAAGGTAGCATTCAAAAATTAGCTAAAGGTATAGCAAATTTTTTGTAGAAAAGAGCTCCTATTGTAAGTATTAAAAAAATAATAATGCAAAGCCAGCTCACACTTATATTTCATTTCTTTCTAGGAGAATGGAATTTATTCTGATTAAGGGATCAGTATGCTGCTATTTGTAAGAAAGCAGGAAGAAAATATAAAGTAAAACATATACAAACAAAAGAACCTGTAATAAGAGAAATTATTAGAATGTAATTAGACAAGCCTAAACAATGCATTTTTGTTTTGGGGCATGAAAGCAACTGGTTCTCTAAAACACAACCAAAAATTTAAATAATGACATGTAGGATCTTGACATCTCACTTAGTTCAATATCCATTCACCTCTGAATCAAAAAAGTGCACAACTTTTTTTTTGTGAGGAGGAGCCAGGGAAAGGAAAAAACCCTATTTATCATTTATTGCAGTACTGTCAGTTATTTTCATTTTTAATGAAATTATTAGGGTAGAGTTTGGACACTTCAATTTATTGTTATAAATTGACCCTCTGAAAAATTATAATCAGACCCTCCAACCTAATCCATCTCCCTCTTTCCCATGGCAAAATCCATCATATCAAGACATTAGTGGCAACAGCCAAGTGCTCTTAAAACAGCAATGGAAATTGCTCAGCTTTTTGTGGATTCCAACAGTATTTTCAAGTATTTATACTTTATTTCTTGGCAGCTCATTTGTCCTTTAAAAACACTGAAGTAGCGCTACACCAGGCAGCTGCCTCTACAAACATGGAGAGCTGCAGAGGTCCACGGGGAGATAACCACCCCCGCTATCAACGTGCCAGCACTCGGATCACCACACCTGCAAGACACCGGCAGCTCAACATGGCATCTCTCTCTCTTCTGCCTCATTCAACGAGCAAGGGATCTCCCAAGAATATGAAGGAGGCTGGTCCCAGAACGACGTGTATAATGTAATGAGGCCCACCACTTGTGGAAGCTTCTCAGACATTTGTGACCTTAGGCAGAAATTCCTCAGCTCTCTTCCCTTGGGTATCGCTCCATACACAAAGTTTTTTCATACTACAGCAGCAGGAGCTCTGTCCCACACCATTCCTCAGTGACTAAGGAAGTACCTTAAATGCCATTTCTGTCTCCCCTATGGAGGTGGGGGTACTGAATGCTCCTAGACCAAGGTGATGGTACAGGGGGGCGCACCAGCAAGTCTTCCTTGTCTCCATCAAAGAGCCTACGGGCTGTATTTCCCTCTCCTGAAGAGCCCCATACCTTACTGTACCAGTTTACACTCCAGCTGGAGAACCCCCAGTTCAGAAACAAGTTCAAGAATGACCAACTCCCTCAGGACCAGTACAATGCACCCATCAGGTCAGAACTGCACACCATTTGTACATCTGCATTGATCACCCTCATGATTTTGCAAAGAGGGTGAAAGCGTGAAGTTTTAGAGCTTTCTGAAAACTGTCTTGCCCACAGATTTGACAGCTAATACACTTCAAAATCTCCAACTCCCCAACTCCAGCTCAGTAAGGGACTGCTGTCAACTTTTCAGGCCAAGGGTGGAAATCTCTATCGCAATGGTACCGTATTTATTAAAGGATTCTCTAAGAAAACAAGGTACTGCTAGGGTCAGAGTAGGAACTTTATCAAGGGACTTCCTCCCGTTCAGGGTTATCACTCACAATCACATCAAGCCAAAGCAGACGCAGAACTGCTGCTAAGCACAAGACAGCTCCGTACTCTGCCATCCCTCCGCGTCACCATCCGCTCCAGCTTCTGCTTCTGCTCCTTCCCCTGTGCCGGCACCGGTGCTTGTTCACCCACAGAGTGAGATGAGCAGCAGGAACGACGCAGGCGGAAGCTGGAGCATGTTTTAAGTTGGGGTGACTTCCTGGCCACCCCAGCACTACTGCTGGCACAGGGGGAGAGCCAGGAACACAGCTGGAAGGGAACAAAGCAGTTCCTCTCAGCAGCAACCCCTACTCAGACTGGCCCGAAGCAATCGTTTGAACGCCAACCCAGTCCCTCAGGCTGATATTCAGACTGCGATTCTACTTGGTTTACACATGCACACACAGAGCCTTCGTACAAAGTCCAGCAAACCCAAGGATAGCTGGAAACAAACCTTTCCTACAAAAACATTAGGCTGCCTTAAGAACGGATTTTGTTGCCAGCATCACAGGCCCTCCACAAGCACCAGAAAAAGATTGCTTCCCTGGAGCGGGATATTCCGCAGCTCCTTATGGAATACAAAAGCTCCAAGAGGCGTTTTGGCCCAAGATGTGCTCTGGCTTCACACACACCACTCAGCACATGGGGGGTGCAGGGAAACACACCATCTTCAAATTCATTATTGTTGTGCAGACCATTACACGAATTATTCATCTTGTCTGGAAGCCGTATTTGCTGGAGATGGACACACTGCAGACGTTTAACCAGTATTTCAAACTAATCATTCTGTTAAGTACGTCACATCCTCCAGCCATGTGTTTTGAAAAGGAATACAGCCACATCTGGATAAACAGCTTTCTTCACATGTAAAGCTGTAATGGAAAAACGTAATGGAAATCTAGGCATGCCATACTTCTATCCAAAACTGAGTAGTCAAATTCTCTGGATAAAAAGCATCCTTTAACATCCCTGGAAATCTGTGCTCTGGTTTCTAGCCAGTGAAAGATATTACCTTCCAGGTGATATAACCAAGAAAATTGTGGCAGAAACACTGGAATTTTCACCACAAACTTGTACCTAGTGTAATATTGTATGCAAATGTATTATAACAAGCACCCAAAACATATGATTTTCAATACACTAAAGAGGAGAGAAAAGTGGGGAAAGATTAAAAAAAAATTAAAATGGGGGCACGCATGAATGTGGAGGTAATAAATAACTAAACAGAAAAGAGAAATAAACACTGAATTTGATAAGCACATAATTATTTTGCTTATCATCTGCAAGGAAATGAGAAGCTAGAATTCTTGCAAACATGCTTGCATCCGCAAGAATGTTTGGAGCTAGGTGATGCATTATCTATTTTCTCAGAGCATGCTAATTAGAAATGACTTGGAGACATGAACACTTAAACAGAATCAACCAGCTTGAAATGCCAGTAACATGAAAAATATGGCTTATTTATATTCACAAAAGGTTAAACTAATATTTAGTATTGGATAGGTCCTCCCATTAGCAATTCCATGAGCTTTAGAAAGACAATCTCAACACCATTAGGTCTTCATCTGTCCTGTGGGGACAGGCTGAGAGAGTTGGGCTTGTTCAGCCTGGAGAAGAGAAGGCTCCGGGGAGACCTTATTGCACCTTCCAGTGCCTGAAAAGGCCTACAGGAAAGCTGGGTGGGGGTGGGGGGAACGACACACAGGACACTTTTTACAAGGGCCTGTCGTGACAGGGCAAAG